ATTTCGTTTACCCGAAGAAAAATCCCGTTTATGCGAGAGGACGTATCGTAAGTTATTACAAAAGTAACGCTACAAAAGTTACGCGAAAATTTAACTCGAAAACTCAATCAAAAAATTAATCATAAAAATTAATTTTTATTGATTTTCATATACTACTTGTTGTTTATCGGCAAAACAATGTTGATTTTTTCCGTATGAAATAAAAAAATCATAAAAGAGAAGAAAAATGTTGCTGAGCACATACTATTGATACCATTTCTGTGTAGATTCACCCAGATCCATTTGGTCCACCAGGCACCAAGTGTTGTTATTTCGTGGATGCTAGGGTTGGTTGCACTTTGATCGCACTCGTAATACCTTTTATAAATAATACAATATGCGTCCGCTGGAACGAAATAATTCCATAGAGATATAAGAATAGAGTGCGCGAGCGAGCTGAAAAAGCGATATAGAAATAGAAAGAAAAAGCTGTGCATGCAGGGTCCTTCTGTTTTTGTTTCGCATGCACGCGTAGACAAAGACAGAAAGGGCCTATATGCAGCGTTCTTTTTCTATTCCTATATCGTAGCCTCTTACGCGCTAGTATATGACTCGCGCACTCTATTCTTATATCTCTATAAATAATCCGGATAGCCGTTTTCAGGTTTCTCTCTGGCCTATGTACATATTTACCTTGTTAATAGCGTTTTTTCTTGGCTGTACTATCGCCCACTAGTGCAACACTAGTGCAACTTTATTGTAACTTTATTGCATTAGTGTTGCACTAGTGTTGCACTAGTGCAGCCAAGAAGAAACCGCTATAAGTATAGAAAGTACAACAGTGTAGCCACAAAGAACAGTGGAGCAGACCTGTAAAAAGCAGATAATCTCAACGATGTGTTTTTGCGTACGGACCGCATATAAAAATTTTAATTTATCGATAATGACGAAAAATCGTGCAATGTAATATGTTTTTTATAATGTCGTTCAACAAAGACGCCCAAATGCAGGCGTACAAAGTCAAAAAAGGAAACGGTAACGTGAATCTTCAATTGCGGAAACACGTAACAAACTTGCGGTTGATATGTCAAGATTAATCAATATATTAATATATGATTGAACTTGCTCGGTGAAAAATTTACAATAAATCCGTTTATAGTTGATTAATATGTTGGTTGATTCACTCTTGTTTGGTAATTAACTTGTAATAAATAATATCTGTACTGTGTGTTTTATTAACTTTGACAAAATTGTTAATTTTTATTATTACATATGGAAGAAATGATTAGGGAAACACACAACGATTTATATAGTTTGAAATTTTGCTTTAAACAATTTTGTCAGTTGAATTCAATCGTCGATTAAGTTGATTGGAATTGCTCGAATGAACAGCTGTTATTTATATTTTCCATTTTACAAGTAGAAAAAAAATACTGAGAAGGCTACTGGCTACTGGAGAGAAGAGAAAAAAAATCTTTTAAAGATAATGGAAAAACGCATTTAAAAAGTTTAGAAAGAAAATTGCACAAGACGCACAGGAGCCTGTTGAAAAAAAATTTAATCTTTGACTCAAATGCAGAGAGAACTGTTGTCGTTTGAGATTACAACGAGAATGATGAAGACATTTTTAGTGATAAAGTAAAAGCGTCGATTGAGAGAGAGAAAATATTGCTGAATAGACACACATAATTCAACCCAACCCAACGTATCTGAGAATAAACCTGTCGAGGCTGAAGGAATTATTATGTATCTATTTCTGGTCGAGATGCCGGATGATTTTTTTAAATTTTACGAGTTTTGTGAAATTATATCAAAAGATATCATCTTTCGGCTTGTAAGTCTGCTTAAAACTTGTGGGTTCGTACGACGTGCTGGATGGTAAGATAAAGATATCCTCAAGTGAGAACGATAAGGAAATATCGAGTAAGTAGAATATGAAAATTTTAAAAAGTTTATATAGATCTGCATCTACAGGTTTATATCAGTTTTTTATATTATTTTTTCATCATCTATATTATTTAAATTATAGCAGCTATTTGCAAAACAAAGTGAAGTCGTTTAATTCCTTTGAGAAGACCAGCATAACGCGTTTGCATTCGCAATTGAAAAATTTTGCCAAACAGCACGATATAATTCTGGAGAAAAATACCGCAGACATGCGAGCGAGAGAGAGACGGGTTGTAGTACAAACCTTTCACAGGGCAATCATTGTATTTCCTTATGATAAAAAGACTCAATTGGGTTACAGAGATTTGGCAGCGGCAGACATCAAGTACGATTAAATGCATTAATAATATGGTGTTTTATACGCTTAAATTTAATGTTTAAATAAGTTCTATAATATTTGAGAAAGATATTTTTGTATGGTAATTTATAACGTTCGATTGCTTTGTGTTTTTAAAAATGAAAAGAATTATATAAAGAGTCGTGTATTGTGAGGTTGCACCACATATCAGATAACTAATGTATTCAATTGTACATACGGTAAAAAGTTTTTCAAATCATTCGTTTCTAATTTAATTTTACGTTCAAATCATTCACGATTATATATCTCAATGCAGATAAACATAAGTTTTTCATATTAAAATAAAAAATGTCTAAATATAATTTATCTAATTCAATCGAGTATAATACAATTGAGAACTCAGACAGCTAAATCTGTCGAATACAACGTTTACCAAGTTTATGACAAATTTTGTTGGGAAAAATTATAGATTTGACGCTGGATTTGTTTTGTCTAGTGGCATCAGCAAAATATCTACAGAGATGGACACAGATTTCGTTATCTGGATACTTTTGGTCGAAATGTCTTCTTATATTTGTAAAAGTATACATTTTGAATTTTCTTTTAATTGAATTTATGTTGCGCTTATATACATTCACGGATAGAAAAATTGTAGTAAAACTTCTTTTCACGGAATATGCTAAAAAGATTTTTTTATTAGGAATAAATAACTGTATAATAGTCTCTGTATTTATAAATGCACACTCGAAAAATCAGTTTTCAGATAAAATTGCAATTAAATCTATTCCGAATCACATTAGCCTCTGTTTAACTTGTATTTTGAAGAAAAAATATCCGATATGAGTCGTGCATGCATATAGATGAAAAGTAAGAGTATGAGAGGCCATTAAATTTTCACAGGCTTTTCCCTTTTTTTCCAAGGAAAAAAGAAATGAATATACCGACATGAATCGTGTGCAGCAGATAATGAGAGGTGAGGTGCCGGTGTCATTAAAACAAGACGCAGGCTACATTTAGCTTGTTTCAAGAATTTGAGCAGTGTGCCAACGAATAGTTTTCAATTTCACCTGATGGATGTTTTTGATGCAGATAACAAAGCAATAGGTAAGAAAGTTTTTCATAAAATTTATATATCCGAATGGCTAAATTTGTCAAAAACAAATCTATAATAAAGTGCTATAAATTTTGTCAATAAAAATACACCAAATCTGCTAGCAGAATTATTATAATGCATTCGAGTATTGGATGACAAAAACCGAGTAAATCTGTCATTTCGTAATCATTTAAACGAACGTAATCATTTGCGTTTTACTTGAAAAGAATTTAATGAAATGACGACGTTTGCTTAGTTTCTGCCAAGGTCAATTTCATCATGTTTATCGATAATAAAATGTTTACTGATGAAGCGTGCCCAAAAATTGACTATCATTGTGAAAATATCCTCTATATCAGATATAAACGATAAAATACGATGAATTGATAAACTTGATGGATATTATGAGGTATCCAAGGATAACATTTCACTCGACATTGCCAGTCGTAGTGGATTAAATAATAATTGTTTGTTATACAACAATCGGTATAAGGCCTTGTGCCAGTCATTATTAGATGTGTTGAAGGAAAAACATATTTATTTTTTTGTCATTAAGTTATTTTATATCATTTTATTTTATCTCGTTAAATTATTTCAATTTAATGATTTATTAGTATTTATTATTGAGTAATATAATGTTTTGTTTCAACACACACATACATACGTTTTTTTACCATTTGAATACGAAAATGGAAGAAATGTATGTATGAAATAAAATTTTGGTGATAACTTTATGTTAAACTAAAATAAAGAATATACTAATATAGAAAGAGTTTTATCAGTATTGAAATGAAACATAAGTTACCTTGTTATTTCCCTCCCATGTGTTGATGTGAAAAATTATTTATTATAATTTATAAATAATTTAAAGATTATTAAATTTGTACTGAAATTCAGCAGCATAAAAGACATATCAATATTTATTATTATGTCAATTTGACTTTTCATAGATTGAAAAGTGAATAAATGAATCATTAATGCTGTATGTTTTAAAACAATCGTATATAAAATTAGTAGTTATTTACTTGAATGTCTTTAATGCAATTTTGGTTTATTTAATTAAATTTGAATTTAAACTAATTTTAACATCTAATTTAAGTATTTATCGAGATAAATATTTCTTGAAAACGAATAGCGAACAAACAGCAAACAGTCAAAAATATTTTACATTTTTGCTTAGTTGTCAATGTCCAGTCGTTTCGGTTAACAGTGGTGTTTCGATGAAAGTGTTTTATTTTATTTAAAAAATATCACATATACCTGTGCATTGTTCTTTGATAAATTATTTTTGACATATCGCAAACTGTTTATGCATGATCAGCAATGAATTGTTCCGTTTAGAATTGTGGAATTCAAATGTTAATATTAGAAACATTTCATTAACACAGTCATTAGCTCTGATAATTTATAACATACATGTTGAAAGTTATTATTTAATATTATTATATTAGAGGGAGAGAATATTATTATATTAAGAATCTAGTGCGTGACATTCTATTTGCTTGAATAGAGAACGTATGGTGAACAAAAGAAAAAGTATTAGTCTGTTTTTTTTTTAAGTCAACCGTCTTTCCTTGCTGTACTTTTCCATTCTCTTTGTGATTCAAAATTGTCACGTTGAATTGACCGTTACGATAAAAATTACAATTTTCATCACTCTTATAGAAAAAAGGAAAAAGAGCAATGTCGAAAGTAGAGCAATCTGTAAAAGAGATATTAAATGCGCAAACTGAAATAGAGCGTTCGATGGAAGCAATAGACAACACAAACATACTTGTTGGAGAAGAAGTCGCCTATTCAGATCTATCCACTGCAGAGACTACTAATATAGTTACAGAGATCATTCGTGCGTTTGCGGAAGACGTGAATGTGATGGCAGCCGAGGCGTAAAAGATTTCCACTGAAGAATTCAACAGTTGTGCATTCGTTGTTCAAAGCAAAGAGATGTCACCATCAAAATCTGCTAATGAAAAAGAGGTGAAAACAAGAGCAATGAATAATTGACAAATTTCACTATTTATTATTATTATTATTATCTCTAGGCTGATACGTTAAAGCAGAATGCAAAGGGTAACAATGCGGTGTGCATATCTAAATTGGAGGCGCAAGTGCGGGTAAAAAAATTTTCTCACAACGCAAACTGTCCTGAAAGAACCGAATCACCTCAGCTTGATAACAAAATTGAATCTCCAGTAAAAATTATTTTTTCTTGCGGGGTTATTTTTGTCATCTTTTTCCACAAAATTAACGCTGAAACATATATAATGTATATCGATGATGATATCTTGGATTTAATTCTAATTATTATATTTCACAAGTGTTGATGATTTTTAAAAAATCCTACAACGCTACAATAAATTAAATAGTTGATTTTGTGAGTGGAATCTTGTCATCCCTCATACACCTTATATGTTATTAACATTTGTGCAAAGGCTAACAATCCTTTTATGACCGACAGAAAAGAACAATAAAGTGCGATAGTTGCCGAAACAAGTTGAAAGACACGGAGACGAAGCTGGCCGCCTTGCAAACATTTTACGACGTAATTATAAATCACGGCGGCGACGACGAGGATATTTCTCTGCAACAATCGGTGGAACAATTACGCGAACAGCTGGTACAAACGGCATTGATGATGTACGAGGAACGTAATCGCGTGATCGTGAATCAGAAAAACCAGATTAACGCCTTGAATAATCAGGTGACCTCGTTGAAGGAGGTGGTATCGATCACGCGGTATCTGTTGCAGATTTGTAACATGGAAGCGAAGCAGCTGCAAGTGAGCTCATAATTTTATTCCCCTTCTACATGTGCGAGTTACAATTAATGAAAAAGATATTCCAAACAGGTTCTTGCTTGAAAAAAAGATTTCACATTCATTATTTCTTTCATTCGTTTTTTTTCTCGAACTTTTTTTTGATTTTTAGAAGGAATTTGTGAAAAAATTTTAATTTCGAGAATTAGAACCTTCCATATATAGATTGAATTTCGATCGAATTGATTCGATTTATTTACTGTCAATTTATTTACTTTTTTTAGCATTCTACAGTCTTGCTAAAAATTATCATTGATAGTGTGCATCATTAGTTTTGGAATTACTATACGTTTAAATTATAACATATGATTGCAGGCTAAAGTTGATAATACGAAAAAGAAGATTTCCGAGGAACGCGATCGACATAACACGATGATTAACAAGATGAACGCGGCGATGCGGCTCAACGCTAATCTCAAGAAAGAAAAATTTAGTTATTTCTATTTTAAAGTCTTTGTGAGAAATACGGCGAGAAAGTCACTCTATTGACCATGGAGCGAAGCAAGTTCTCGAAATGACCGCCTTTGTACCTGAATGAAGATGACTTTCGGATGATTTTATTATATCATTAATAGATGCATTTGGCGAATTCTTTTTCAATTATTTATTATTCAATGTGCATTAAGAAAAACTACATTTTCTTTGTTGTCATATTTGGATTTTATTCTAGTAATGTAATCATAAAAAAACCGCTAGATTTGCCATTCTGGCAATTTGTGCGATGGATGCGCGATATTGAAAATGCTACATCAACACGTAAAAAGTAGACCGCATACACAATCGTACGCTACTGAATATTTACAATCGTTCCAACTGAATAACGGTCCATGGACAAATTGAAATAAGAATTAAAAATGACGAAATTAACTTGTAAAATTAATTTTCAAGAATTAAAATTCAAAGCTAAACTATTAGAGCAATAATTTTCTGTTTTTTGATATTATATTTGTAGTTTTACACTTTTGTGGAGGACAATATCGAAATTAAAAGTATAAACAAGATGGAGCAAGAAAAAAGTAGTCTATCTACTTTGACCATTTCTGTCATTTTATGTTAAATAAATATTTGCAATTATCGTAGATATCGTATTATTTATGTCACTATCGAGTCAAAAGGGTAAATGGTACTACGCAATAATATATGTTGCGGATCATACGGAGAAATGATTTAGCAACGAAATAAATGTAGTAAAACGACGTTATCGATTAATAGCAGTGAAAAAAAAAATCTTATCGCCGACGTTATAAAAAGCAGCTTGAAAAACTTGGTCTTTATGATTTGTGTTTAAAGTGACTATCGACGAGTAAAATCACGAAATGAAAAAGTATTATCGGTGGAAAAAAATAGGTAAATTAATTATTATTAATTGCATAAAGTTTAAAATTTTTTTTCATGATAACAGATTATGTTTGGGAAAAAGAATTTTTTTGAAAATTTATAACTCTTGTGTCGGAATCACTTAATTCTTGTTATATAAACACAATATTATTTTTAAACTTGTGGAAAACTGATTTGTAACTATAATATTCGATTTTTTTTAGTACATATTTAATATTACAACGGTAAAACGTCACTTTTTATAATTATATGTGATACGATTTCGCAGAAATTGAAAAAAAGATGAAGAAGACGTTGACAATATGCTTACTTATGTTTTGCATCGTGGTAATATCTTCGAAACTGTAAATATGTGGATATCATTCGTTATCAAAGATCAGTTTATACATAAATTAATTCCAAAACTATTAATTAATAATTGCTGCAATTGAAATAAAAATGTGTTGACTTCAACATGAAGAAATAAAAATAATGTTAAGTATTTAAGTAAAGAAAAGATATATATCTTGTTTTAATGTAACAAAATGTACACGTGACAGACATACTGAGTAGAAAATGTTTGTTTTTAAAAAAAATTGGCAATAATTTAATCGTATATTATTCTTATTATTCAATTCGCAAACTTCTCTATGTATAAAGTTAATTATAAATTAAATTGAAATGTCATGTGTATTTGAAGCAACCGCGCTTGGACCGGATTGACGTAACGAATAATAGCCAAGACAAAGTAAAAAAAAAAGTAAAAGACAAAGTCAAAGATTATATCATGTCACCGGAAATTAAACTTACACCAATACACAAATTAACGGATAACCGTGAAAGAATCTCTATAGTACAGCCGATATAAAGATGCGTGATGAGTTTTAAGACGTATAGATTTATTATTTATAAGTAAAAAAATATTTATCATCTTTAGTTTCTCGATAATCGAAATACTTTTGTTTATTTTCACATTCAGCTACGGATTATAGGAATGAAACTATTTGATCTTTCTCTCTCGAAATTTCCAACGAAATTAGAAACTTTACATATATAAAATTTAAATAAACATCCTACATCTTGTATAATTATATTAGAAACTAAATGTTAGTATTATTAGAATATAATGCACAGAAGAAGTGAGATAATATATATACATGAGATAGTAATTCAATGTCGAAAAAAATATTGTAGAATATTTCTCTTCAATAATCTTACATCGTATTGTAAATAGTGGAAAAAAGCAAGCAATATGGTTTTGTATTACACACTGAAAATTGGTTGTTTTTTTAGAACAATTACATTCTTTCCGGCACACGTAACTCACGCAATAAACAAAACTGGAAAAAACTGCTAAAATTGCATTAATTCTAAAAATAAATTTTAATTTTTTTTTCGTCTGTTTCGGAAAATCATGCGAATAGAGACTGAGATTGTATTTACGAAATTTCAACTCTGGGAGCGTTAGCCGCGCCATTTTGATTGAGAGGATGATTTCGTAAATATATATATTTTTTATTCTCAATTCTACAGAGTTGACAATCATTTTTCATCTATTGGAATTGGTACATGCACTACATTTATATTGATTATTGTAGCCGTCAATTCTCTCTGTTTAAATATTTTTCCGTTTTTATCAAGTAGATTAAATGTGTTTGAATTGCGATAATTTTTTTTGTTAAAAAGAGGGATTTTGCCTCGTGTTGGTTGTCTGCACCATTGATTCTCCGTCTTTTCCATTTCCCTTTTTAATTTAAGCATTTTGTTTTCTTAAATTGTGCGACAATCCTTCTTTCAAAATTACGAAAGTATTATCGCACGATATCAGATTCATGAAAATTGGAAGTATATGTTGCAACGATAATAATGTAGTTTACATTTTATGGTATTTAAATGTAATTCAACAAGACGACAAACCAATGTATGCATGTATGCAAAATGATCATCTTTTTCGACGGTTAATCGATTATATCACACATATGTATGACAATAGCAGTGTGCGTTTTTTTTTCTTTTTTTTTTCTTTATATGTCTGTCTAATAATTGAAACATGTGTCGTTTGAAAAAAGTCCGGAGGAAGAGAGTTGAGGAGGGACCACTACATACGCAAAGTTGTGTCGTGGACAAGAGAATCGAAACAAGAAATGTGATTTGAAACAAATTTATAGATTGCATATATAGTACACATATACGTTTCCCATCCAAATATTTTATTATATAAGATATTCAGTTTTTTTTCCAGATTAACGTAATCAACGATTATCCATTCTCTCCTTTGTCTCTTTTATTCTCCAGTTGGTTAATTGCCTTTATTTTATTTTTTATTCAAAAACATTTCGTTACGAAGGATGACGTATGTATATTGAGTGGTTGAGGAGAAAAATGTAAAAGTTGATAATAAAGAGGAGATAAAAATTATACGTACATATAATTATATTAATGTTCAAGTTGCTAATATATCTTTAGCGGTAAACTTGTCATTGGTGCCGGGCACATGCGTGTGTTGTGCGCGCGCGTAATTTCATGTCACAAAGTGTGGCGAACGTGATTGTTGTAATTGAAAAATTTCCAATTCAATTTCTTATTTCGCATACTAATATCACAATATACATTTTACATACCGGTGTATATAGTGATGCTGTTCATGCTGCTGCTGCAAAACTGAAGAATGAAAATGTGAATCTCCAACAATTTATTGTAATTTGTCCGTGATTCACGCGCTGTACGATAACGTTAAACTGTTTTGAAGCGTGTGCATGTCACTGATGCGCGATTTACAAATGGAAGAGTGTGACGAATCGCGAGATGCTTTGACCATGCTACTTCTTTTTAAATGAGACAAATGAGAGAGTTATTGATTTTTCATTCGTTTGAAGCGCGCAAGAATACGATGCGCTAAAAGTCAACGGGCGCGCTCAATAAATATGCACACGAGTGTTTGACTCGCGAAATCATTCTCCTTGTTAGAGGAGGGGGGGGGGGCTACAAATGTTTTACGCAATATTCGACGCGCGCCTCTGTCCACGCATGGTCCTTCATTGCTTCGTCGTGAATGGTCAGATTTATGAACGAGAATAGCGAATTCTAGCTGAGCTAGGGAGTTGAGAGGGGCGTATTCTTCACTCTCCTCTCGCTTTAGAGGTGGAGGAGCTGAAACCTCTGATTAATAAGGGATAAGGTGGGAGGAGACAAAACCCTTTCTTTTCCTCCCATTTGAAACTAGTTTTTCATTACAACAATTGTGTAATGATGTTACTGTGTGCGCACACGCGTGCGTGCATTTTCGCGTTATTTCAACCACGTACGATTCTATCATTTTTTTTAGAGTTTTATTTTTTTTTCTTTTAATTATTAAATAGCAAATGTTTTATAACATTGAATGTCACGCCTAACATTCCCTCGAAACATTTGCGTAATATTTCTTTTTTTAAACATGTAATTGTATTTATCCCGTTTTGTATATATATATCATTTGAGTGATTGAACGTTACAATTTCAATGTCCTTTAATTTACGAAATTTTTTATTGCGCATTTCAAATTATTTGTACCGCTCAAGCGCAAAATATTTTCAATAATGTAAAATATTGTGTAATATATGGCTTTGCGAACGAAAATGTAGAAGTAATAAAAGTGTCTGGAATGTTTAGTGAAAAAGTATGCGTAACATTTCATTTCATTGCTTTGATAGAACGGTATAGAGAATTGGTTGTAATAAATAAAAAAAAAACTTTGAATTATCAGGCAGTATGAATTGCACAATTTAATGTATTATCGATGTATTATTTGTCGTCAATTCGTCAGTCTCGTTTTCTCAACCACGCCATTTTCCTCGAATTCGTTTCTTGTCACGTGCACGCTCAATTTTTTCAAGATATAGTAGTGCATCGCATATCATTTTTTGCTCAGCTGCGAACAATAGTTTTTTTTATCGTGCGCGCGCGCGCGTCAGCATCGCTCGAATGTTAAAAATAAACGTATATCACGTTAGCCCAGTAAAATGATAAAATTTGGAGGAAATAATACTGACTGGGCTAAAACTTTGTAAACAGATTTGTTTTAGGGTACTATTTAACATATTAAAAGTCCCCACGTGTAGACGCTACGTTGTGGGCAGGGGAGGGTCCAAAAGGTCCAAAAA